GCTTTTGCTGCATTTCAGACAGAGGGTTTGTCTTCTGCCACTGAAGAAGGTAAGGAACTGAAAGTTTTTAAATACTTTGTTCAACCATTTCTGGCCTGAGGTCAGTCCAAATGGACATCAATTTTAAAAACTGTAACTTTCTATAATTGTTTTACTCAAAATGTTTGTAGAATTCATATATATATATATAAATATATATATATATATTGTGCTTATTGAGCTTAATTCTTGAATAAAAATGTGAAAAATTTTTTCTTTGTATCTGTAGGCACCCAAACAGTAAAAAACACTAGGTTTTTTTGCTGGCTTCTAAGCTCATATTTATTTCTCCCAATTAAATTTCAGCATTTTTAATAAGCTTGATGTTTTTTGTTTTTTTTAAACTGTTAAGTTAACAGTTGAATTCATTCATTCTACTGCTATAAGAGTACTTAAATTACGACCACTGACGAGCTACAGGAATATTTTCCCATGACATCAGGCTTAGCATCTTGGTAAGCTAGGCCTGTGATCGAAAACTGTTTAGATAAAACAAATCTTTTTTTTTTTCTATTTTGAATATATTAGTAAGTTTATTGTATTAAAAAAAAACACATAATAACTTCTTATTTATAGAAAATCTATAACTATTAGATATAAACTGATCATTGTTGACAAAGTATCATACTTCAAAACCTGGCAAAGGTAATGATGATACCATTTTGGAAAGGTAAGGTCACCAGTAAATGTTTATCAGTCGTGCCATATTTGTGTGATGGAAAATAACTGCTTCTATTGGCAAAATAAATGTTTTAACGACTATCAATGTCCCATTGGTCCATACAGTTAATAAAAGCTGGAGTTAGTAATGTTACGACAGCCATTTGTTGCTACCCCCTTTTATAATGTCGGAGTATGTGATGTGAATAATGTAGCTCAGCTGGAGCCAACAGCTAAATGCTGTTGGATAAAATACATATTTACTTATCTACATCAGTATAGTACAAATGAAGTGGTTTATCAACATGTCAGTTACCCAGAATTCCAGCAAAGTAGCGTATCAAGAGAAATACGTTGAATATCAAACAAGCTGAAACTGACTGGAATTCGAAGATGGTACTTTCTGATCAATAACAAAAAAAATTGAAATTCTAAGACCAAAATTAAATATTTTTAATGATTCACCAACAAATTTTGGAGATTTCACAACATCAAAAATGATAAGTCACAAAGTCAAATTATATAATTTTTTTTTAAAGTAGAAAATATATCTTATTTGTCCTAAGTTTCATGCAATTTTGTTAAGTATTTCAACTGTGAGAAGGAAACAGTCAAGTGATGTCAGTGACACCTTTCCAGTGTGGAAAGGATTAAAGAGTTAAGTTTTAGTCTTGGATGTTAAGCCTGATAAACAGGTACGTTTGGAAGTAACGGATAACTCGTGTTTTTACGAAGTTCTCCATCTTCAGTCATCCAATGTTGTAATTTGGGTAAAAAATATTTTCTAAGTTGAGATCTTATTATAATAGGACATTTAAGAAATGAGACGTACTCGAGCCTCGGCTGAGTTGACGGCATACTGTGTTGTTCTTACAGGACACTTGTTGCTCTTATTCTTCGTCCATGGGTTTGCGGTACTACCATTCATCTACTTTATGTCTTTCTTGTTTCAAGTGCCTTCAACTGCATATGTTCGCCTCAGCTTATTCAATATAGTTGCAGGTAAGATACGAACTTATTGGCTTATATTCAAAGTATATTAAACACTTGTCTGGTAGGTTTTAAATGTCTTTTAACCGTTAATAAAAGTTTAACCTCATGAAACTTCTCAAGTATTGGTAAGATTTTGTTAAAGATTATCTTGTACACAAAGTATGACTTTGTGTTAATTACGTTTGTCCTAAAAATTGTATTTATCTACTGTAGTTACTTACATTCAAACTTTTAACAGATCGAGTGCAAGGTGACTTTCATTTCAACTATAAAACCACTTTTATTCGTCGTCTTATAGTTTTCATATTTCATTTGAATAATCGCTAGAACCTTCTAAAAGGATATCAAAAGTTTTTTTAAATTTAAATATTTATATTTTATTTTCTCTACCCTATCACTAACTGTAGATATTATCATCAACATACAGTGCAACGTAATAATTAAAATTATGAAATAGAAAAATATACACACCTTTTAATTTTTTGTAGAATATCTTTAAAGATTGTCCTTTGGTTAAGTTCGTAATTTCACATTTTTTCCTTTTCACATATAGTTAAAGTTTAATATTTTATTTTCCCGTTTTATCCGTTACCACTCATCTCGACACAAGTCAACGAGGCATATTACGGTGTATCTGGCAGACAAGTGCAACCTTTCAATAATATCGTAAACCTTGAGAACTGACGTGAAGTATGATGTATATATATAAAAATGTTTTAAACCTTTTAATTATGTATCTTATAATATAACTAATACATAATTAACGTAATGGTAAGATCTAGATACCAACAATACTACAGTCAGTTACATGTACTCCATGAAGTCAAGTGCATGCCAATTTCAAAATAACAATTGTTAGATTAAAATGTAAAATGAGCTCTTTGTAATGACTATACACATGTGTATGTAACATCTTCATTTAGGCTATAAAGCTGAAACAAATCTGTTGTAGATGGGTGTGACACCCAACCACAAAAACACCATAACCATATAGAAACATACTGTTAATGTCAAAATATTTATAACCACAAAAACACCATAACCATATAGAAACATACTGTTAATGTCAAAATATTTATAACTACAAGAATACCATAACCATATAGAAACATACTGTTAATGTCAAAATATTTATAACCATGTGCTGTCACGTGATCGACGACCTATGAAAATTCTCTACTTTGGCACTCTGTATCTTCAATAATACAACACAGTTGTGTAAATGTATGTCTAGACTATAAGATGCTTACTTAGGCTTTTGACTCGTACATTTAAAAGTTCTCTGACTGAATGAAGTTTAAACAAGTAACAAGTTTAATGTCAAAATATTTATAACCACAAGAACACCATAACCATATAGAAACATACTGTTAATGTCAAAATATTTATAAACAGTATGTCTCTATATGGTTACAGTGTTTTTGTGGTTATAAATAGGGTATTATAATAATAATATATTATGTAAAACAGATGTAAGCTTATGTATCTGTGCAAGTTAGCGGACGAAGGTAAGAAACACCTTATGGTTATTTGATTTTTGTTAGTTTTTGTTTCTCAAGATGCCTTCTTACGAAGTTGTCCTTACAGGAATTGCTTGTTTGTTGGCTGTAACTATTCTGGCGATTCCCCAACTGGACCTCGTCCATATTTCTAAAGCTCTGGATTGGGCCTTTTCTGCAATACTACCAAACTACTGTCTTGGTCGTTCAATCAGTAACCTATTTCAAAATGCCAAATTTAACAAAATCTGCAATGTTAAGGACATCCTGTCCAGCTACTGTCTTGATGGGTCTTTTAGTAACCTATTTCCAAATGTATCAATCTGTGATATTGCCTCAAGAATCTGTGATTCAGTGGACATTGAATGCTTTTGTAATCTTCCCTCAAGTCCTTTTTTTAACATCATCAAACCTTGCTGTAAAGGTGAGTCTTTAATGAAATTAATTTTGACCATACAACTTGATTAGAACGTCTCCCAAATTATTGATATTACTTTAAATAAAAACTAACATGAGATAAATTGCTGATTTTTATCATCTGTTCAGGAAGCATTTTTAAGTTTCATTACTCATCATGTGTGGTCTTATTACAGATCGTTACTCATCATGTGTGGTTTTATTACAGATCATTACTCATCATGTGTGGTTTTGTTACAGATCATTACTCATCATGTGTGGTTTTGTTACAGATCGTTACTCATCATGTGTGGTTTTGTTACAGATCGTTACTCATCATGTGTGGTTTTGTTACAAATCTTTACTCATCATGTGTGGTTTTATTACAATCATTACTCATCATGTGTGGTTTTATTACAGATCGTTACTCATCATGTGTGGTTTTATTACAGATCATTACTCATCATGTGTGGTTTTATTACAGATCGTTACTCATCATGTGTGGTCTTATTACAGATCGTTACTCATCATGTGTGGTCTTATTACAGATCGTTACTCATCATGTGTGGTTTTATTA